GAAGGGTCCCGTGACAGGAAACCATCGCTTCTCTAGCTTGTATTCTGAACCTTGGGGACAGATTTTTACTCTTCCTTTTACATCCCCAACCCCTTCCCTCTCTCTCTCTCTCCCACCCTCTCTCTCTCTCTCTCTCTCTCTCTCTCTCTCTCTCTCACAATCTCACTCTTCTGTTTCTCTTTCCTTTTCTCTCACTCTACTCTCGCTCTCTTACGCCCCCGTCTCTCCTCCCGTCTCTCCCTCGGTCTATCTGTCCATGTTGTCCTTCTGTCTGGTTCTGTTTTTCCATCTCTCTCACTCTATACTCGCTCGCCTTTTCTCTCTCTCTCTCTCTCTCTCTCTCTCTCTCTGTCTCTCTGTCTCTCTCTCTCTCTCTGTCTCTCTCTGTCTCTCTCTGTCTCTCTCTGTCTCTCTCTGTCTCTGTCTGTCTGTCTGTCTCTCTCTCTCTGTCTGTCTGTCTGTTTGTCTGTTTGTCTGTCTGTCTGTCTCTCTTCTCTCCCCCCCTCTCTCTCTCTCCTTCTCTCTCTCTCTCTCTCTATTTGTGTGTGCCCATTTATTTTTTTCTGTCTGTTTTTATCTTGTTTTTGTAACTATTGTTGTAGCTGTTGTTAGTTTTCTGCTGCTTTGTTTTAGTAATATTATATCAAAGATTTAATTACGTCACTGTCTTTTATGAACCGGACCTTCACTATTCATCAGCAAAATAAATCAGGTTTCTTAAATCTCTCGGAGGCGAAGAGGGCGTGGAAAGAAATCAAAGCTTATAGGGTGAGAGCTTTTAGAGAAAAAGCTACTAATGGAGTAAATGTTTCCACAATTATTAGAGTTTTACCGGTGACATTGCCCTCCCCTCCGGTCTGTCAGTCTGTCTGTCTGCCTGTCTGTCTGTCTATCTGTATGTCTGTCTGTCTGTCTGTCTGTCTGTCTGTCTGTCTGTCTGTCTGTCTGTCTGTCTGTCTGTCTGTCTGTCTGTCTGTCTAACACAAATATCATTTACTTGCATTTTCTCCAGGAGAATCACCATTGATTTTGTTGGTGTAGGGAAAGCTCATGCGTTTGAGAGTGTAGAGGTAGTACTTGCATAGACAGTAGTATTTCTTGTGTAGTTTATTATGATCCAATATCAACTGTTGATAACGCTCTTGTGCACCACACTTCATTACCCTTTTAAGTGTATTATGAGATTGGGAAGGTATGTCATGAGAGAGGGAGCATACAGAGTATGAACTTTCCTTTATTTCCAACGAGCCATAAAGCTGGAAAAAAAATTGAGTACGGTATCCTTAGATGGTTTAAATTCATTTGGTGTCACAATAATAGTATACATGTGCATGGGCGTCAGCAGTGTAATGCTGAATGTCTTAACCATTCGCTCTAAAGACAAGAGTTTGATAGCAACGTTGGGAACATGATTATTGTAGTCTATCTTGTGTTTTCCATCTTTCTGCTTTGATTTTGGTGGAGGTAAGAAAATTATTCAAAACTGGGTTTATTCACTGTCAAATTAGGTATCAATGTTACTGATGTATTGAAAAATTAAGATAAACGAGATTTGACCTCTTGTGAAATAAAACGAATATGTGATCTCGAATAAAATTATTCAATTAATAGCCACTCTCCTTGTAAAAACGCAGTTTGGGGATTGAAATCCTACTGGTAATCAGATTTCTAAAAGGTAATTTATATTATAAATGTCTCAAGATTGAGCAACCTTTAGTTTTAACATTACAATAATAATTCTGTGGACTAATAGTTCGAAGTTTAATTTTCCACTGTGGTAGCTGTTTTTCATGTTCTCGTGTTCTTTTGGAAGCTTTTGTTTTGTAGGATATTCTACATGAAATATAGACGTGTTCAATAAAATGTACAGTTATCTTTGTCTTTTTCTACATCTTTTAGCAAATCTTCAAGCAGTTTGATGCTGATCATTCCAACACAGTTGACACTTACGAGTTAGGGACCATGTTTGCTCGGCTAGGTGAGTTGTCTAGAATGTTTTCAATTTCAAACTCATAAAGTAACCAGACTGCATTCGGTATTCCTGTTTTTCAAGCTTGAGCTAGGAGATGTACGGCAGCAGTTGCAGAAGAACATAATAAGACATGTCGAATTTGAAAAAAAGATTAAAACCACATGGCTGAAGGAAAGAAGATGATGTGACAAATCATTCCCATAATGTCCATCTACATGGCTCATCCCAATATACCGGAACATAATTTCGTCCAAGTTAATCTCACCTCACCCATCTTGTTTCAAATGTTCTCGCCTTTTGTGACACTGTTTCCCTCCTATTCCATCCCATTTTCCTCCTTTTACCTCACCCATCTCTTTTGATTTAATCTCATCGTATATCACCCCACGTCACCTCAGTTCACCTCACAACCCTCCTAATTTTTTTTCGTCTTCCCCCATCTCGTTCCGTCTTACTCCTCCTCACTTCATCTCAATTTATTCACATCGTCTTACCCCATCTGACCTCCTCCCCCTCCTAGTAAAGTCTCATTCTCCATCGCACCACAGCTCATTTTACCCCAAATTGTTTTAAAATATACAATATCAATACACATATTAACCTCCTGTTGTCAACGTATCTCACCCTTTTTATCTCATTTCCTCTCTTCTCATCTCTCAAACCTGTTAACCGTTCAACAATGAATAATATACTCTAATATGTACATGTGACTTTGTACAGTTTACAGCTGCCGTTCTGCTGGTTCGAACCCCGCTTGACCTTAGGTTGCTGGAAGATTTTTCAAGGCGTGGTTCAATCGGAGATGGATGTCCAAGCCGGAGGTCCTGCGACTTAAATTAACTAATCTTAAAGTGCTGAAGGAGGCGATAAAATAATATAATACCCACAGGGTCACGCAAATAGCTTAGGTTGTCTAATGGTGGACATGGAAGTGGTTCAAATCTCGAAAGGAGAATTCTTGAACTTGAGTTCCCTGGGAAATTTCCATGGCTTTCTGCCCACTTTGTTCAGCCATTTCGGACACTACGTTCAGTTTGTATATGCCCCCTCATTGAAAACTTCACAGTTTCTAAATAGGTGGTTGGCGGGTGCTCTGGTGTGGCTTGCTCTTTCTTTCCTTTCAAACATCTGTCGTCCTTATCTTCCCTCTTTTTTTGTCTTTTTGAGTCTCTTGTTAAACCTCAAATTTTCGGCACTTATATGACCTTATTGTGTTGTAAGTACCGTAAAACTCTTACTGAAACTAAAAAACTGCATTTAAATCGGAGAGTCACAATGCTGTCCTTCCCAGGTTTCCCCGTGAGTCGTGGAGTACTCGCAGCTATTGTGAGACGATACGGAGGCCGGGACAGCAGACTCACTTTGCCGGATTTTGTCATGATTATCTGCAAACTCACGACCTTGTTTGGTATGTCCTACTTGCATTTGTTGTGATAGTCCTCTTTCTTTAACCTAATATCAAAACGTTTGGTTGAGCACTGTAGGCACTGGTGTCCGCTGTGCAACGGTTCGGTGCTTTGCCGTCGCGCACAGAAGATCTGAGTTCGATTCCCACGTGGGAGAGTTTTTATTGGATATCTTGGTCTTTCTTCTAGGATGTTGTGTCCTTTTCAGCCATAATCAGTAACATTTTTGTTACTGTAAACCTCCCATGGGCGGCGCTCATGCCCCAAAGGTTAAGGTGTTCGCCTCTTATTCAAAGGTCCCAGGTAGCGACAGAAAATTTTTTTTCTCTAAAGTTGTCTCCTTTCACCTTCTTTCCTGATCTCTGGCAATATTCTATAGTCTGCTTTCGTCTCCACTTTCTGCCCCCACCCCCTCACCTCATGTGCCCCCTCCTCTAGGCTCCTGGCTTTTTCTGCAGCCTTTCTACTGCTACTCCTTGGCTCTTTCTTACTGCTGTCTTTCAGCCACATCCCTGATCTTCTGTATAAAAGATCTACACCTAGCCTTCTCGGACAAAGGCGAAAAATCTCCGAGGTACTGTGAGCAAGTTGCGCACGTTAAAGATCCCTCGGGGGTCCAAAATCGATAAGAGTAGGCTTCGGCCACCACCCGGGCATAATTCAAAATTTCCTACCAGCTGAAAATGTTTAGTTTGTCACGGGCGCTCATATGACCTTATTCAGTTGCGAGCGTCGTAAAACACTTTCCAAAAAAAACAAACACCCTCCCCCCCCCCAACCCCCCCCCCCTCCCATGTCCCCCAGTGTCATTTTTTCAGATCTACCCCTCAAAAAAACCCAACAACAACAACAACAACAAACAAACAAAAACAACTACAACTTAACAACAGAAACAAAAAAGGAAACAAAAAAGAAGAACCCCCCCCCCCAACTCCATGGCTGTCAAGTCAAAGCAAACACGGCCTGTGGGGGATGAACTTCCCAGAACAAAAAAGGAGATACTTTATAGAACTTCTTCTTCCCTTGGAAATGGAACTGAGCAAGACATTTGCATAGAAGAGAAAGAGCATAATCATTACTCCAGAGAAGCCAATTTCAAAGTGTGTACGAATTGTTTTTCAGTGTCAATATTTTTTAGGTCATTTCTCTGTTATTAAGTGCTTATGTATCTAGTTTTCACTGCAGCTGTCCTTGCATAATTATCGTTATTAATGTATGGCTGAAAAAGTTCTTCCTCATGTAGTTCAACTGATTTTCTTGTTTATTTGAAATGCAATCTATTATTAGTGTATTATTACTCACTTGAAAGTCAAACAGTGTTTCGCTTTGAGAGCGGTCTAGACTCCCCTCTGCTGATTTCTTCTGCTTTCTGCTCCCACATTTTGAAGTTCGTTTGAGTTGTGCTTATACCCTTTTTGCAGACATCTGCAGTTCACAAAGCTTTGTAATGGTAGCTTCGGACCGTTTTTACTATTTCTCTTCTCTAACTTGCAGTAAAATACTGGGTGTAATATCCATCCTGATATTAATACTATGGTCTTGAGACTGGAATATCCATTCTGTTATGAATGGTGGAGAACATTACGATTTAAAGACACACACAAATAACAGATTTACACTTTTGATGTTTTTTCTTATGTTTTTATTATCTCTTCAGGGTATAACAAATCTCTTTTTTTCCAATTTTTTTGTTGCTCAGCATCATTCCATCAACAGCAGAAACAGTCGGGGAGAGGGGAGGATGTGGCTGAGTTCAGCAGGAACGAGGTAAAGTCATACCAGGCTATTATGCTTACTCACTAAAGATTAGTGGCTGTCCGTTTCCCTTTAAACTGCTTATTTGTTGAAATGAAACACGGTGATTTCTTCTTTTATGGACAGTATTTGTTGAAACCGAAAGCTATCCTATTAGCTGGATCCAACCATTTCTCATGCTGGGAATTGATATTTGTGGCCCTTGGTTTGAATCCTCATTTGGGTGTTTTTAAAGTTGGGCTTTTTGAGAATTTTTAAAGGCTCTTTAAAATTTTTGTAGAATTGAAAGGGGCATTAAACCCACATGAGTCTTTACACTTCTAAAGTTGAAAATATATATAGATCTAGCAATAAGATGAATCAACTGTGTGTCCAAAGTATACTAATCTAGAAAGCTTTGTGAAGTTAGAGGCCCAGCGTGAATATACCACAAGTGTGCAAATGGGTAGGCGGAACATAATAATATACCTGGAAAATCTGTTTCTCAGTTTTCTTTTTTTGTGTTTTTCTTGAACAGTTTTTACAGACGACGATGTCCATGTAAAGCAGCACGTCATGAATAGCATGTTTACATATCGGCTGCCTTGCTCAACTCTGCAACCTCTAGACCACACAAGGTGTACAGAATAACAATTCCTTTCTATTTTAATAATACTGTTGTTGAATAGTTATGATCACCATATTTCATTCCTGTTATCATACTTAGGTATATTAAAACGAATTTTTCAAATTTTATGATAAGATTATTGTATTTATTTTAGGACGATCTGCCCTAACCATTATGTTCTGTGCATCATGCTAAAACTACATGCATTTGTAATGAATCGCTGATGCTTTAAAAATTGTCTATGTATTGATCCATTTTCCTTCAACAATTGTTTTGTTTGTTGCTTTTATTGGTTTGTACTCTTAGTTTGTGATATGTTTTTCTATATTTTTTAACTCTTTGCGCTGCTGAAATTACGCAACGTGAAAAAACATTGTTTTGTCTCTGATAGTTCTGCATTACTTGTGCTTGTACCTCTCCGACCAGTGCCATGTTATAAGTGGTGGGACGGCTGTCCTTACTGTCCTATAATGCTTTATGTAATGAAAGAGGAAATATTATTATTAATGATTCCTCCAAACCGTAGCTTAACATTTGATAGTTGAAAATACTGGTCTCTAGTGTAGTGTGAGGTATCATTATATTCATACACATAGGGTCTACTTATAATTATGCACTCAGATCAAATAAGCTTGGAGGCTGAGATCTTAAAGTACCGGAATGAAATGTTAATGAAAACTACCACACCAACAATAGTGACAGTGACCACATAGATGATGATGAAGTAATTTTAATGGGATTGATATCGAAGTTTTGTGACGTCCCCCCAGAACAGCAGATTCTTGGCTAAGTAGGAGGCCATATGGGGCGCTTTGTTAGGAGGATTTGGTTGTGTGTTTAAACCATACTTATGAAGAAGGCTTTGTCGAATGAAAAAACGACTTTCAGAGAGATTAGTAGTACCTATCTGATAGTGCTCGACACTCATATTGTAAGCTTTGGTGTGTTGTTGTGTGCCATATTGAAGTGTCGCTTCCACCTTAGATCTCAGCTCCACTGCAGGTTTTGTTTGTTATTTGTTTTGTTTTTTACTGTATTTACTGCTGTGTTCATGATTCACTACTGTGGATACTTTGTAGACCATCCTTTGGGTACAATCATTTCTACAGTTTCTATCAACAATCAATTATATATTACCTTTTTGTATAAGTCACACACATTTACTGTGGTGTGGTATTGATAGTTCATATTCATATATAATTAACAGTTTTTCCTGCATTACTGCATTGCTACATTCTGATGAATATGATACCCTCCACTTTGATTTTACAAAATCTAATATATTATACATTTGCATGTGGTTTATTTCTTAACATTCCTTTGATTTGACCAGTGTTTACAAACAAATAATATGATTCTCCCAATATACACTATTCCATGCAATTATACCGATTTGAAAAGCCAATATCCTCGCTGATTTTAACAACAATGGAGTTAAGAATGATTTTAGGGATAGGGAGAGAGGATTTCTGTTGCAGTTACTAGAAGTATGATAATGTAATATTTTAAAAATGAAGTGTTCCTTGTTTTTTTTCTCTACACATTCGAATCTATGGTCTTCAAAGACATATACTTTTTGTTAGTGACCGATCTTTTAATAGTTTAGTAGCCCTCACAATAGTTTTCGGCACAAGCTTTTCCTTTGGAAGTCGATATGTTGGAAATTATAGCGTGGATAAAGGATACATGTTTAGAAACCACACAGTCTTATTCGTGTAGACAAAAGACTTTAGAACCATAACAATGTTTACTGTTTGCAATCACTATTACTTAAAGCAAGTTACTGTAAATCATAATAATGTTATGTTTGTTGCATTGTGATTAAATTGCTCAATCAATGTACTCATGCAGGGAGTCAATAACAATAGTATTAGAGGTGGCCAACTGAGGAGAGCCCATAATTATTTTTTTGTTTTTTTGTTCATTTCTCTTTTAACAATCGTTTACCCTAAATGATGTGAACATTTTTCGTCATCATATTATTATTTTCTCATTCCTAAACATTGTGAGAAAATCTTGTTAGTATGTAAGTGTTTCAGCACCTATGAAATGACAGCTTGGACTGAATGTTTCTAAAAAAAACCCCGGAATGTTTGGGAGTCTTACTGAGTCTGTCGAGGTGATAATGAATGCTTAGGCAATAAGACGGCTTTTGAGAAGGGGTGTGTTATGTAAATGCAGTCTTATATTGTGTATTATATTAACATTTGAAAAAGGAAAGTAGTTTTTATATTTAAAAATGCTGCTCTGGAGCTAAACTTCAGAAATGAGTCTGAGAACTGAAACAAATTTGTAGGATGACTGAAGTGTACCAGCATGGCATTCTTGACGCGCAAGTTTGACTCCTTGTACTTGCTCTACAGGTTTTGAGCGCAACATGAGAGCAATAAGTACAGAATGAAGTGTCTGGTGTGGTGCTGTGTTTTTGTCTACCTTGAGCTAATTCACTGGTTTATTCCTTCCTAAATGTCTCTTGATTCAGACTGCTTGTATAAATAGCGTTTTATCTGATGGTTACTTGCATTTGTTGAACATGACAGTATGAAATTAATATTTCTGAGTGTCTGTATGTTTGTGTGTGTGTGTGTGTGTGTGTGTGTGTGTGTGTGTGTGTGTGTGTGTGTGTGTGTGTGTGTTG